GTAAATCGAAATCAAAGTTGACTTGACTCAACTCTTGGGTTAGCTTATCAATAGTGCCTATGAAATAAGCATGATCGATAAAAAAAAATATATTTTTTCATTTCAATAAAATTCAATTTCACCTCTTCTTCACCTATTTGAAACTTAAGTTTGCCATTTTTTTGACACCAATAATAGTACCTGCACTTGCTAAAAATGGTCTACCAAGAATAATTGGCATAGACATATTTTCTTTCATATCTAATACCACAAAATTCATAGGAATGATAAATTTTTGCACTTTAATCAACACATTTTTTCAAACTCCCAATGGATATTTAACAGACTGATTGGTTAACTGCAAAGTAATATTAGTTCATTTTAACTCATGCAAATCTAATTATCTAACTACCGTTAAAGGAATTAATGGTACACTAGCACCAAGGTCACATAATGCTTTTGAAAATTCAATGCTACCGATAGTGCATGGTATAGAAAAACTCCTCGGGTTTTTCAAATTTTGGCGACAGTTTGTTTTTGTAAGATGACACTGCATTCTTCCATTAATGCTATTGTTTCGTAATCCTTTAATTTCCTCTTTTGAATCACGATCTCCTTGAAAAATTTTGCATACGAAGGTACCTGCAAAATAGCATCGACAAAAGGGATATTAATATGTAATTGGTTAAAAATTTTAACAAACTTTTCAAAATCTTTATCAAACTTATTTGGCTTGAGTCTTTCAGGAAATGGAACTGCCGGAGGTATTGGAATGATAGTGGAGGGCGAATGTTGATTTTCTTTTGGTTTCTCTATACTACATTTCCCCACACTTTTTGGTCCACTCTGTCATCTTCTTGTTTCTCACTCTCACTTTTCCTCCTACTTTCAATCACTGGAGGACCCTCTAATTGTTTACCACTACGAAGAGTAATGGTTTTAACATGTTTTCTCAGATTCACCTCCGTTTTACTAGGCAATTCTTCTTGATTTTTGTTGCTGATTGAATTGATAATTTGATCAATTTGGACCTCTATATTTCTATAAATCTCGATCAATTGGTACAATCTCCCCTCTATTCGCTTAAATCTCTCTAAAGTGCCCTTGACAAGTTTCTCCACCACAATTTCCTAACCCGATTTAGTGTCTGCTTGTGTTTGTCTTCGTTGAAATCCTAGCGAGTTAGTCGGCTATTGAAGGTTATTTTGATCTTTTCATCCAAAATTTGGATAATCTCTTTACCTCGAATTATATATGTTCGAGTAGGGGTTATTTTGAACATTTCTATTGTAATTATTTATAAATTGAACTTACTCAAAATCAACAAACTCATTACTTTCATGGTCACCTCCACATATGGAACAACAAGCCACATGTACATTAGATGAAGAAGAAATCAGACTAACACCGGCTTGTCTACTTAGCAATTTCACCACATTGTTCATTTGGATACTTAGCATATTGAGAGTGTCCATTTCGATCATACCTGCTTGGTACCTAGAATTATCTTGCTCATTCGCCCATTGGTAATTATTTGTCGCTATCTTCTCTATCAAGTTTTGAATTTTTTGGGTGATTTTTCATTAAAACTCCACTTGCGGTTGCATCAATAGTAGTTTTAGTAGAAAAAGATAAATCATTATAAAAAGTCTGTATGATGAGCCAATCAAGAAGTCCATGGTGTGGACATTTTCGAAACAAATCTCTAAACCTTTCTCACGTTTCATATAATGATTCTCCCTCTTGTTGGCTAAAACTAGTTATATCTATTCTAAATTTGGCCATTTTACCCGGTGAAAAGTATTTATTCAAGAATGCCCTAAATAAATCATCTCAAATAGTAAAAGTGTTAGGAGCATGAGAGTGTAGTCAAATTTTGGCTTATCTCTCAAGGAAAATGGGAACAACCTTAGCCTTATAGCATCTTTACTAATTTCATTCATTTTAATACTATCACATATCTCTAAAAAGATGGCTAAGTGTGTATTTAGATCCTCTACAGCATTGCCTCCAAATTGAGATTGTTAAACCATTTAAATGAGTGATGGTTTAATCTCAAAATTATTAGCGTTTACTATTGGCCATACTATACTTGTTTGTGATCCTTATGTCCCCGGTAGAGCAAAATCTCTAAGAATTCATCTATTTGCTTCGTTTTTCGCCATTTCTTCTTCAAAAGGCAACTCTATAGTGATTCCCTCTATGTGTTGAAATTTCTCTTCCTTTTGTTGTGGTGTGTGCCTTCTTTGTTTATGTAGTGTTCTTTTAATTTTCGAATCAAAAGGTGCAACTACTCGTAAAACTCGGTACATATACTACAAACAAAAGGGAGAATTACAAAATTAATATTTTTACATTAAATAGCAACTAAAAAATCTATACAAATAAAGCACTAAAATTTTAATTATAATTAAAAGAAAATCCTAAATTAATAAAACTTGTTTGGTCCTAATATTGCAACTTCTTGGCAACGGCGCCAAAATCTTGATAGGTTCTAAATATGAGTACAAGTTTAATCTCAAAATATATCTATTTGACTGCAAGTATACAGATCAAATAATAGTTTAAAACATATATCAGATCGATCCCACGAGGAGCAACTTTTACAAGTACTAAGACCTTACTTATTTTATTAGTTAGACTAACTATCAATAAAAGTAAGAGAAATTACAATTATTTACAACTTAAGTTACCTAACTAGTGATAGTGCAAGATAACAATAGAGAAATTTCACTAAACACTTGACTCTATGGATGTAGAGTCCACTTATGGCATAAAATATATAAGTGAATAGATTTACCTCTTGTTAATACTCTTATTCAACTAGGGATTCATTTTCAATGTTACAAAACTCACTCTCATGATGAAATGACCTAGATTAGATTTGTTTTTCCTATTCTGATGAGGAATAATTAGATCTACTTTTGTGTTCTTCATGAAATGCAAAGTTAATCCACTTAAATGTACATCTATTCTCACGAGTCTACTACTTAAACTACATTGTTGCTCCATTATTATTACCAACTTTCATTGACTAATGACAACTAATGGCTTGCTATTGGTGATCAAACAACAACAAGTGGTAAGCATGCATAAATGAATAATTTAATAAAAGAAATAGCAAGTGTAAATCATATTAAACTTATATCAAGTAGCCATAAGTTTCATCTACTCCCTAGATCTAGAAATTTAACTATTCATATGATATATAACAAGAAAGAACATAGTTTGATTGCATAAGGACATATTGAATCACAAGTAAAAAGATAGATAAAGAAAACTTAACCAAGATGATGAACAAGCTCCCAATGATCTTTTATTTCTTCATAAAAAATGAGTTGTACAATGAAGTCTCCAATTATTCTCACAAATTTTTTATTAGAAAGAACAAAAAAGACTAACACTAAACTCTAGAGTTAAAATCTGATAAAAACTCTTTCTAATGACTCTCCCTTTTTTCTTATCTAATGATTCTTACCCATATAAAGTTAAGAGAGTCAAAAAGTATCCAATGACAAGACATAAAGCTTCCATTCCACTTCCCTAGGGATTCTTGAACATGTGCAGTCGAAATTCTGTGCTGGAATTGAGATAGAAAGTAATGTGAAAACAGAGAAAGTTGCAGAAAATCTGTGCACAATACGCGACCTGCAATATGCGATCTTCACCCATGTATTCGAGGTCATGTATTGTCTTTAGGTACGTTTTCTTGCTTCTTTTCTACTCCAATTCAATTCTAAGGCTTAAAACAAGATGTCTTCAGTTGAATTCATGCATTGCTCCAAGAATGATTGTCTTGAATAACCAACTTCCTTTCCAAATTATCATTGAATCGAGCTCTAATGGATTTGAAATGTGTCCTACTTGATTCAACATTCGATAACTCTTTTCAATTCCTGCAAATATAACCAACATTTGCACATTAAGTTATGCAAATGAAATTTACAAAATTTAGGAAATTAGGGAGTAAGTTACATTTTAAATCTTCCTAATTTGTAATAAAAAAGCATAAAATACTACTAATAATAAACACTTATCGATTCATATGAAATTTTTTGGGTTCTACTCCAATTTTATTTTTGTGAAGATTTCAAGTGAAATTTTACTGATTAGGTGAAGTTATGGCATTATAATGCATTGAAAAAAATTATGAGATTTTAAAAATTACAATAGTAGTCACCCAATATTTTCATATTTTCCTCTCATTTTTATCCCAATAGTCTTAATTCTCATTCAAAGCGAAGCATTATAGTTTTATGTGTTAATAATTAGAATTATTGTTGTAAAATGAAAATTAGTCTATTTAAAGTAGCAATCTTTTCGAGCAAAATGGTATTTTTGCCTCTTAAATTTTTAATGGAGGATAAATTGGTCATTTCAGGAATTACTTGGATGAAATTAATTTCCGTGTCGTTTTTTAGTTGACCAAGGGTGTAAAGTGCCTATTAAAATATTTTAAGGTGTAAAGTATAACTAGTGTAATGGGTCATTGGGTTTTTTGCATTTAACCCAACAAAAAATGATCATTTTTATTTTACATTTATTCGAATGTATATGATGTGGACCATCCAACTCCCAGTTTTGCTTCTAACCGCATACCATCAATAGAGATGCCCATATATGTTTTTACAGTTCTAAGTTGGAATAAAATTAGGATTAATTTTTTATACATTAACAGTGTGATATTTTTCATACTAACAAGTTCAATTTTGAATGTATGTCATATGTACATGATTTAAATTTATGTTATATGGCATGATCTTTTTTTTTTTAGAGACAATATTTAAATACAATAGAAAGAATAACATTTCAAAAATGGTATGCCTTTTTTTTTTTAAGTGTTATTCCATTGCTAAAAGTAGGAAACATCGAGTTTCAGGCTACAATAATCTCAAGGTGCGACAAGAGGGCTATGCCCTCCCACCGTGGGTACGAACAAAAGGGGTACCCTTGCTATCCAACTGCAAAGTAGCTCTAACATCCCTCGGGAGTTGCTAAAATGACGTGCTGTAAAAGTCATCCTAGCGATCCATCGTTGCTAACTTATCGGCCGCGGAGTTCGCCTCTCTGAATATGTGCTTAGCTGTAGTATTGAAGCTCTGAAGCAGGGCCCGAATCTGCCGTATCAAGCGACACAGCGGCCATTTTGCCAATGCCCCTGAGTCTAGCAAGTGAACTAGTCCTGCCGAATCCACCTCCACCAATAGCTGCTGAATCCGAACTCCAGTACAGAAAAGTAACCCCTGCAGCAGTGCACTACTCTCAGCAGTCAGTACATCGACCTCCCCAAATTCTTTATAGAACGCAAAAATCAATCTGCCTTCATGGTCCCGCAGCAAGCCTCCCCCTGACACCCTCCCTCTAGTCACACTAGCATCCGTATTTAATTTGACCACTCCCTCTGGAGACGGCAACCACGAGATCACCAAGTGCCTCATCACCTGCGACCTCCAGGTAGCTAAGTGAGCCCATGGATCCCCCGAATCCCCCTTAAAATGCGCCATGGAGAGGACCTTCGCCCTTCCTAATTGCTCCACTGCACTCCCCACTGCCGAAATTATCCCCTGCGGGTCCCATCTGAGCCCCCTCAAAACGGGCCTTATTTTGGGCCTTCCATATGCACCATAACACTAAACATGGCGTAATCGTCCGTATATGGTTCGCCGAGACCGACACTGTAGAAGAAAACCAAGATAAGCACTCCGCCGAGACAGACTGTGAATTAGGTCGAAGGATACCAAACCGTCCGCGAAAGAAGGCCCAAACCCGCTCTGCCACTGGCCCACCCAGGAAAAGGTGTATCACGGATTCCTCCTGCAAAGAGCAACAGCTACATCGAGAAGCCATCGAGAAGCCCCGCCTTTGTAGATTCACCTCCACCGGGACCAGGTTAAGTAGCACTTTCCAAACTAGGATGGAGATTTTGAGAGGAAGGATTTCGTTCCATACATACCTATCAACCAGAGATAGATTCCTTCGTTGGCGGAGAGCCTCCCACCCATCCTTCACTGTGAAGTGCCCCGATGGAGACCCCACCCAAACCATCGCATCTTCCTAGTCCGGATACAAGGTAACCATCTGGACTTGGCGCACCAACCCCATCGGAAGCCACTCCTGTAGCAATCCGGTGTTCCATCCCCCATCTCTAAAGAATTCTGCCACTAGCATGTGCGGTGGGTCCTTCCTGCCTAGCACCTCAGCCAAGGGTACCTCAAGCAACCACCAATGGCATGATCTAAACCTACTATTGTAAAAAAAAAATTATATTAACAGGTGCATACAAAAGTTATCCATATAATTAGGGTAGACGTAGTATAATATTTTAGTTTACTAGTATTTTCTTTTTCTTCTTTTTACTTATTTTTTGTTTCATGAATAAATGGCCTGACTGTCTAAGAAGTGACAGAGTCAGATGGTCCGCACTTGAGTTTTTAGCCAAGTTTGTCTGCTACAAGTTTTTTTAAAAACTTTAGCTACAGTAACCTAAAAAAATCTCTTAAAGTTTTTAAACTATACACTTCAAAATATTCAAAAATTTACATACTTCAAAAATTTTTTTTAAAAACCTCTACAGTAAGCTACAGTAAAGTTTTAGACAAATACCTAAAAATTTCACTTGCCAAATGGGGCTCTTATTATTGGCATAGGACCGTTTGTCTGACAGCCAACGTGACTTATGATTATTATTTTAGGTTTTTCATTGTTATTTACTTTCCTTAAATATTATAGTATTTGTTGCCTGCCTACAATATAGAGTATGTTAATAGAGTTTTAACAATTGTTACAATCGATTCAATCAATTCCTTTCTAAGTATGCTCAAGGTTTCTCTAATTTTTCTTTTTAAGTTTACTAGAAAGATATTTGGTTGCCCCTTCCTTTGGGTCACTTTTGTGTTAGTATGCATTGGTTGTTTAAGGTATTACATTAACTGAATGTAATTCCCTGAAAGTCATATTCAATATAAATTTTCAAATTCAATAGATTTGATTTCCTAAAAATCACATCAAATAGAGATCCTTAATTTTAAATGAATTTGGTTTCCAAAAAATCATTTTTAGTATAGACTTTTAATTACCAAAAGGTCACATTCGGTACAAACATTTAATTTGGCTGAATATGATTCTAAAAAAAAATTTAGTACAAGCTCTTTTAATTTACCTGAATTTGACTTACTGAAAGTCATATTAGTTCTAAACTCTTATGTATATCGAATTTGAATTTCAGAATCTAACATTTAGACTGCAGTACAAATTCTTAATTTTAATTGAATTTAATTTCTAAGTACTTACATTTAGTACAAAATATTAAGCTTAATGGAAGTCAATTTTTGATAAATACTACTGATATTACTATTAAAGACAAAATTATCCTTTTGATAATTAATAATACTAGTAATTACATATTTTTCTAGCATTATCCCTTACGTTATGTGATTGCATATCCAAATAAAGTATAAAGGTTACTTTCACATTTAAGAAAAAGTTTGAGATATTTTTTGTTGAATACATCGTAATAATGAACACATTATTTTCATTTTAATTTTATTTTTCAAGTATTATGATTGTTAGTATAATCATACCCTAAAATTTCTGTTATAGTTAGACTATTGCTAGCATTAGAAATTGAGAAAATTGGCAAAACAGTTAATATGCATTTCTATAAAATTCCCCATTTATAAAACAATTGTTACTTTTGCTTTGTGATTAGCTTTACATGCACAGCTCTTTTTTCTTAGGCCCTATTTAGGATTGTGTTGAATTATAAAAACTCAACTCTTTAAGTTATAGAAAATTAGTTACCAAACACTGTAAAAATACTTTTAGTGTTTTTTTTTAAGAATCGTATCGCAACCCAAACGAGGCCTTGGTGTTATATTAAACCTATTTTTGCAAAATATAGTAAAGACTGTGAATCATTTTGTGACTTACATCACCGTTCGGTTAAGCGGCGAAAGTCGTAATTCTTTAGACATTTATTGCTTGGTTGAAAGCAAAAGAACATTTGTTCAGTTTTTCCAAAAGCAAAATTCCATTTGTTGCAAAAGAACATTTATTCTATTTTTCCAGAAGCGAATTCCATTTTCTTTTCCTTTTTCTCCAAAATGAAAATTCCATCTCATTGTTGACCTTAGACATCTCTTGTTTGATGTGGTAGTATTATAGTAGTTTTCGTGATACAATGAATGTGAGTTTAAAATGTTTATAGAAAAATAAAAAGATGACTGAAATACGTATCAATGATACACTCAATATTTTAAGTATTGAAGAACAATATATTGAGGACATCTTAACACATAAACCTCAATATATATTCAAGTTTTCATATGGAAGGAAACTGAGGGGCTGCTTGGTTAAAGGGTTTGGGAATCACAAAAAGGAATGAACCCCTTATTTGTTGCTTGGGTTAAGTCTATTAGAATGTAAATTTTGGAATCATTTCTAAAAAATCGGACTTAGTTCATTCCCGAGCAAATTGGGACGTTTTGGACAAAACCCTCAACTCATTCCCTCAAATAATATTTATGACGAACCTACCCTCTATTTCTCTCCATCACACGCTGCACCTTCTGTTCTTCTTCTTCTTTGTCAGATTTCATATCTTTTCTTCTTCATCATATAGTTTTCATCTCTTATCCAAAATTTCTTGAAAAAAAACTTGTCAAAGTAGATCTAAATGGAATAGGAATAGGCAAATATCTTCAGCGATAAAGAGGAGTAGATTTCAAGTTAGGGATAGGAATTCGGTAAGAACCAAGAACCGATTGGACAGCGAATTCTGGAGTTGAAGAGTCTTCTACTAGGGTGAATTCCTTGATCCCAGGTAAGTGGGTTACAAACTCCGTTGCCTCTGCAATTTTCTTCTCCGTATGCAAGCTTTTCTCTTCCTTCTTCTCTGTTTTTTCAGGCTACACATGGGCTAGCTAAAAATAAAGAAGGAAAGAAGGGAATCTGACACAATAACACTAACTGGACCAAAATGCTGTGCTCTGGACCCATCATCTTCTCACTTTTATTCCACTCACGCTACACAACATAAAGATTAAAAAAAAGTCTTCCTTCCATGAATTCATATTCTTTTGTCACAAAATGCAATGAAAAATTAATTAAGAAGGTTGCTTAGTACTTTACACATTATTTCCGCAACAAATAGATTATTATTGGTGAGAATAATATACGTTTTTAATTCATGTATTTTGTTGTAATACATGTATTTTAATTCATGCACTTTGACAAATACATTATTTTATTTCCTTTTTTTGGTGAGATAAATGTTAATGTAATTAGATTTGTCATTTTTATGTTTTTAATGTGTTTTCTTGAATTATGCATTCAATGGAAGCTCAGAAACAAAGGGTCAATCGATTCTTGATCTTTTGGTTATTTGATCCGTGAATACTGGTATAGATTGGGTGGGCTTCTGGTTGCCTTGTACCTATTTGTAAAATTGTCTGCCTGAATACCTTTCAGTTTCATAGTTATTCGTACATTAGAATTTCAAATTTAAACCATCAATTTCGTTTGTTTATGCTTATTTATATTTATATCTGTACAGCATTGTGTTTAAGAATGTATGATGCATGTCTAGGCCTTTTTAATAAGATCAATTGATGTTTAATGCATTTGAAGATTTTGATGTTGTAATCTAGTTTGGTGAATATTACCTTTGGTTGTCATATTATTATGTAGAGAAAGATGCCACATTTGTCTATTGAAAATATAAGACGCAAAAAATATCAAGGGCAAAGCCAAATTTTATCGGGAATGATAATGGTTGTTATTGCATTGTTTATGATGTGGTACCAGTTAATATTGTGAGAACCAAAAAAAAAAAAATTTCACATTTTCTCAGCATTATTTTATTCCTTTGCCTACATTTTATACTTTCCTTGGAAATATTAAACTTTCTATGCATTTCTACAAGCAAGTAAAGTTTTAAATTCATTTTCCTAGTATGAGTTAGTGTACGTTAAATTTGAAACGTATTATCAATGTGAGGACCCGTAAAATTCCTTATATTTTTCTTAAAATACCCTTTTATTTGGAAATTATTACTTTATAATGGCCCTACTACCCAATCACCCCATAATAAGTGCAAATGAATATAGAATTAAGGGTTTTTCCTTTTCATTTTCAAGTTAGTGCGAATTAGGGTTTTTATGCCTATTCGTGGTGTGACTATCCGGTACGGAGTGTGGATCAAATTTGATGATTAAGAGTGAGTTTTAGATGATATTAAGTGTGTGATTAGAAGTGGTAATAATAAGTTAGTGAATTATAAGTTAAAACCCTAGTATACGCGATTTCAGAAAAAACGGGTTGAACTGACGGATACCGTTTGTTATCGGGTAAACACACCACTTGACCCACACTTTATTACCTTAATTTTCTCATTTTATTTCAGCTAATTAACCCTCAAAATATCTCATACATCAGCCACAATATTTGACCAAGAAAACAAGAGAAAAGAAAAAAAAATTGACTTCCAATCACAAGGTGACACTTGTCACCTTTGATCCAAATTCATTTCTATCATTTTTAACCTTCTTGAAGCTTCATTGAGCCTTCATTTTCTGCCTACCAACTGAGAGAGAGAGGAAGAAAAGCCAAGAAAATGAAACCACAATCCATCTTGAGTTTGATCCACTTAAGTGAGAAAACAAGAAATCTAAACCGATTAATCAATAGTTTGAGAGCTTGGGAAGCTTAAGGAACCAAAAATTTCAAGGAGTAGTGGAGGATCACTCTTGCAAGGCCTTTTCTTGAGGTATAATGGCTGATCACCCTTTCTTTTCTATTAATCATGATTGATTTGGGTATTAATGTTAGAATTGTGCTTGTGGTGCTTGTTTGAAATGGTTTTGATGATTGGAGGGATGAATTTTGAGTTAGGGTTTCGATTTATTCACTTATAATTCTTTTTGGTTTGGTGTTATATGGTGTATATATATGGTATCTAATCTTGTAAAGGAGAAGGTAGTGGTGGTTTTAAGGTAAAAATGTGAATTATAGCTTGATGTAGCAAAATTCCAGATTTCTGGAAATTGAAGCTTTGGTTCTGCCTGGTTCTAGTTCCCTATGTTAGAGGCCGAATTAGCCATAGTTCAAAACATGAAAGTTGTAGGGAATGATGTTTTA